TACAGCTGTGACCTCATACTGTACATGATTTATAGATCTATGCTCATTTCTTCTTCTTGTTCACTGAATATTGATTTTAAGATATGAATACTCCTCTTGTATCTCCACAACATGGTTTCACAAACACATCAATTACACGATCACATGGTTATATAGTTCATCTTTTGCTCTTCATCCTCCTCCTCCTCCTCCTCACACATCTTTACCTCTCTTTGTGCTGTACGTTGTAATGACTCAGCTTTGTGTCTCTGTAGGTGAACGTGTGCACTGTGCATGTGTGTGTGCATGTGCCCTTTGAGCAGACTCTTGGTCAGGAGCGATGTTGCCAATTCTATTGGTGTGTGTGTGTGTTTGTGTGTGTGTGTGTGTCAGTGGCAGATTGCAGCTTCATGCTATCGGTCGAGGATATAACCAGTCATCAGTGAAGCCTCCTGACACACACAAGGAAACTGAAATGTGTGTTTCTGGGTAATAATTATGATCCATCAAGATGTTTCATTCACAACAGTTAATACTATATGATGCACAGCACTGTGTTGTACAGGCACCATTCATATTCCACCATACACTATACACACAATCACACACACGCATTATATATCATAGTATACATCACAAATGAGCATAGGCTCTAAGTGCTAACTTTTTGTTAATTTAATAGTGGATAAAAAGGCGGCTCTGCCATTTTTAAGTGTGTGTTGTTGTATAATCCAACTGTAATTTAATACTTGAGTAACATGGTTGGGCTGATTTGTTTTGAACTTCATGTCTGGTTTTGGAGGAAGAGGATGTAAATTCAACATGTCATAGTGATACAGTTAATGGGTAGAATGGACACAGAAAAACTTACAGGATGTTAAAAAAACTTCTTGGATGTGTCTTTGATCAATGTTTGCTTCTACTTCAATGGTTAAAGTATGAAATATATAATAACATTTTCTTCTTGCACCACATCCATGTCGTGATAAGAACCTTGTTTATCTTTATGAAACTGTCATGAGGCCCGTTTTTTTTTATTCATGCATTAGGGAAATGAGACACGTCAGAGAGAAAGTCTGCATTTAACTCCAGGTTTAAATAAATTAGTCATCTCTAATTAAAACCAGAGTGTTATAGTAAAACATCCACTGTCCCGGTGACGTATGCAGATGAGCTGGAGAAATATGCAAAGCAGGAGGCTGCTGCTGCTTTTTTTTTTCCCATGGAGGTCAAATGACGGAATGGCTGAGGGCAGTGCTCTCTGCTCCCTGCCCACCCAGGAGTCTGTCTGCTACCCTCTCCCCTTAAAAAAAACATCCTCCATGCTTATTTTGAATGCCATCCTCCCCTGTGCTGCGCTCCCTCATTTTCTTATAAGTACACCCCCCCCGTCACATGGTTTCAGCTGCAATTACTGTTGGTATCACTTCTCAGTGAGAAGTTCAGTGAGTGAACCAGCCTGGAGGCCTCCTATCAGAACCTATTACAGCAGGGGGACAGGCTGGATGACCTGTGGGCTGAGGGTGGGATGCACCGGAGGGAGGGGGGTGTGGAACATTTAAATAATGGGATGAAGACTTTGACAAGTCCTTGAATCAACCAAGGCCAAATGAACTATATCTATACAATTATAAAGTTAAAATGTGTACGATTGTCAAAACATTTTGTGCACTTGTGGAACAGAGAAAATGGATAATTTTTACATTTTTTTCTGCTACAGGCCTGTTTCCCTCCACTCATTCACCTGAGTGGCTTTACACTCTCCTTTTTTTTTTGCCTTCTTCACCCCTTATTCTTACCCCCCAGGCCAAAACCATAACCCCATGAATGGGTGCATGGGTGCATGCTCACACACACACGCACAGAAAACTGTGAAGAGACTGCAGCTGAGGTAGATCCACCAATGGGTGAGGAACGATTGAGGCGGCTAATTCAGCAGTCATCTATGTGTATGTGTGTGTGCGTGTGTGTGTGTGCGTGTGTGTGTGTGTGTGTGTGTGTGCGTGTGTGTGCGTGCGTGTGTGTAAGTGAGACTTGAGGTGCAATCTTGTGCAATCTCCTTGCCCCGGGTCACACATATGTACTTTAGCACCTACGTGCCGAATCAGCCACCCATCTCTCTGATTGATGAGCTGAGGGGTTGCATCTCGTAAAAGTCTCGTCTCGCTGCACACCTGGGATCCTTATGCAATCCGAGGTGAGGCCAAGTCCTGCAGGAGAATAAAACAACTTGTGAAGTTCTGTTTGCATGAATACATACATATGGTAAAGTGATGTTTGCCTATTTACAACAGCTATAAAACCATGATCAAGATATCAAGCTGTTCTGTTCAGGGCCGGAGTGGGACGGGCCAGGAGGCTCTCTATATGTACTTCACACTATATATTATATACACTATATGTCTATTTGTAGATGTTCAAAATAGAATTATATGAGATAAATAACTCTGACACATAAATAGAACAATATATGTATTGCCTCGTCACTTCACATTTGTTATTCTCATTCTGCAGTGTTCTCTGAAACTTTAAATTATATATTTTAAATTAAATTTTCTACATAATACTGTTGATTATCTTTAACAAATACCTTTAATGAAACAATCCCACCTGCCCTCTCTGATGGCAGCTAACTGATCGACTGGCTGCTGCAGTTTAAAATTAACAACAGGCAACAAAGTGTCACAGTTGCTCTTAATCCTTTTGTCATGTATGTTTTGTACGACTGTAGTTGGTTTACATACCTGTCTCATCACCATCAACCTGTGGGAGGTTTGGTGTAGAGGAACAAATAAATAGGAACAAAAAAATCTACTTAATTTTATTTTTTACAATGCAGTCCAGTATGACTATTTTTGCATTGATGACATGAGATTAAAGCCAGATGATTAATATCTTGATTGTCAACGTTTGGACAGCTCAAGTTAACAAAGTGGCTCAGTGTATTGGTGCTTTAAGACCACTTGAAGAATCTAATCAGAATTAGTGGGTCCTCTGAAGTCTGCAGTGTAGAAGCTGATAATAACTATTGCACGGACACGTGACAGATCAACTTTTGCAGTTTAGTTGAAACCTCAAGTCAAAAGGCTAAAAAACTTCAAATGATTATTTATTCAAGGACAGACGGAGAGCGTCACTCTGCCACAGCTCCACAGTGAGAGATGAAGTCATGAGTAAATCTTGATTATAACCCTGCCTCAATGACCTTTGACCTCGCCCTCACCAGGTGGCGGGCTAAATTGCACCTTATTTTGTCGCCATGGGTCCGGAGCACCGTGAACAGAGCGAGCGGGTCTTGAATATGTCGACGCGAGGCCACGACAGACGCTCGCTCCTGCAGAGGGGCTGCTCATTTTGCCTTCAGAAGTTGGTGGGAAGGTCGTCTCTAATTGGTGCCTCTGTGGCGGCCACCTGCTGAGGCCACATCACTGTGGCAGAGGAACCTGACTGTGAGAGCGGACCACTCAGGCACTTTGAGACCTGGCCGACAGCGAGCACGGAGCCATGCAAGAAAACAAGTCTCTAAAACTGACTAATCATCGCTGTGAATTAAAGAGCCCGAGTCGTTTTGAAGAATATCTTGATGAAACAAATTATGAAGTTTAGAGTTTAGAAAAAAGGTGCTGACACTGGTAGAAAAATAAAGTTAAAGAAGTTTATAATTGTAAAGAAAGTGTTGACAATGTCCTATAAATATGGTCAGTTTAAAATCTACAAGGGCACAAACCTTCGCCGAGACCCAACAGTCTCCATATGAAACCACCTTCCAACTTATTAAATTCAGATTTTTATTAAATCTGCACCAAATTGCACACACTCGTTAATATCATCCGAATTTTTTATCATCCTTACTTTTAAATGTTTTTGGGCCATCACAGGACATTTTGTCTGTGCATAAATGGGTAGGGAAATCCACATGTGATACTGAACCGAGGAGGGTATTCAAGATTTAACGGCATAATAGTCAATTTTGTGAAGTTTGAACAGATCAACATTTTCAGTTTAAATGTTGCTGTTTTCACCTCAAATGATAATCAGCTGTTAACTGATCAGTTTCATTTATTTAACGGGTGATTGATTTGATTTAAATATTTTGTGTGAGACCACTTTAGGAAAGTATGAGTTCCACTGCCAGAGTCCATCTTGGTCTAAAAAAGTGGAACATCTTTATCTGGCTTTTGAAATTGGACCTTACCTAAGTGCATAAACACCATGGCTTATACTTTCTTTACCTTTCATAATCTGAAAGGGACGTTTCAGATTTGCACTCTGTGCTCCACCAAGTCTCCTTAAATTCAATCATGCTGCACCAGATACTCATACATATGAGTTTTTTCATCAAGATCCATTATATACTCCCCGGGAAACTGGAGACAATGTCAAAAAACACATCTTACAACGTTTAAGAAGGTAAAAGAAAATCCTAGATCCGACTCTTTTTCCTGATTCACACCAAAATATTATTAGTTCTTCCTTTTACCCATGTCCCATCATTCCAATGAGTTTAGGGGAAATCCATTTATAACCATAATCTCTTTGGTGGAATTAATAAGAAAGGTTAAATATTCAACAAAAAAAAAAGGTTCTCATTGATTTTCCATAACATCTAAGTATTTTTAACTTTTCATGATCTGTCACCATGGCATCCTCACAAGACACCAGTGAATTTAGAACAACTTGTCCAGCTGGAGGTTTTGTGGGTGAAACTCGATTATTTACACCTCCGAAACAAGGACGAGCGTCTGATGCCGCACATTTGAAACAGCATTCCAGCAGAGTGTTAACATAACCGAGAGCACAAAGGCTCCTTTAATGGCCGACCGCACCATAAACGGCCTCATCTGGTCACAAGGCTCTCACAAACGACTGCGAGATGTTTATCTTTAGCATCTTCATAACATTTTGCCACAAACACACACAGCCGCCTTATGGAGAACCACCTAACAATAGATCTGTTTACACAAAATTAAATGTTGCGAGGATACAAGAAAACCTTTTAAAAAAGACGAAGAGGTCAGGGGTCAGGGAGGTGCTTATGCCTTTTGATTTATTGGTGCAGGATGAGCTTCATACATCAGATCATGATTCACTGAAGACAAACATGTGTTGAGCGTCTTCAAATGGAGGAAATAAAAAACATGGCTGAATTGGGAGCATTTCAAAAGAGGTAGACAGCAACGAAAAACAGAAGCATTGATGCAAAGAGAAAATCTTTTTCATTTTTTTCAATGATAATGGTTTGATATGGCTGCAAAAGCATTGGGAATTGGAAATAAATAAGTGATTCCTCTGATCACAACTCATTATCCTACTGCTCTTTGTCTATCACGACCTCGGTGATGTTAATTTACAGGTTCTCCCACCACAGCCACGACTTGGCCTGTTAACGATTCTAATAGCAAATATCCAGTCGGCAACAGTAAGGCCTTCGGAGGCTCAGGTCATTGTTCACGTCACAAAAAGATCCCTGTGCCTCTGGGTGCTCTTTTTTTTCTCTCTCTGCGGCCTCCCTCCCTCCCTCCCTCCCTCTCTCCTCCCCTCTCCAGTATCCCCGTGGGAGCGCAAAGGGTTGAAATGACACACAGTGGCTGACTGTCGCCCAGGGGCCCGCGTTCTGGCCTTGGCTGGCTGGATCTGTGTGGCAGCTGGTAAGCCCGCTGCCCTCTCTCTGGCCTGCAGCATCAACAGTGGTGGTAGTGGGACTGATTGGAGCCTCACTCTGATCTCTGACTCCGCGGCTGACGCTCTCAACTGCTCACTGCTGCCCACACAACTGGTGAGAAAGTGGAACGGGGAGCGGGATGTAATCAGGAACGCACACACACAGAGAAACTCAAGTGTCCAGTGAAGTGGCTGGGAGTTGGATGTGATAGACACAGTCCTGTTAGGGGATTAAAGCTGAGGCACTCGATTCTTTGGGGCAGAAAATTGTAGACGCTGCAGGTACTGTGGATGTTGAACCAGCAGCCACTTTTATTTGAACAAATTGCTGTGAGGAAATGCATTGTATGAAATAAGACGCATTTCCTCAGAACATAATATGAAAAACCAGTACAGTAACATCTTATTAAGTCTCCCTTTCATATTCTCACGACTTTTCATATTTAGCCACATTTTATAAATAGAAACACCCTTTTAACAAGCAAGCATCATTTCCTTTTCACTTCACCATGACCTGCACAGCCTTGCAACAAATGCACAACAGTAGGTTTCCCTGTGTTGCACCAAAATTGTCTAACATTGCTCCCACAATACTGAGTACGGGTTAAGACATCAAACTTCTTATAAATAGTGTTAGTGTGATTAAAAAGAGAAAGTAGAGGCCTTGTTTCCACTGCTAACTCTTCATACGTTATTAAAAACACTGACATTTTTATAGAATATGAACTGAACTCTATTTTTATTAGAAAGAATTCCCTTCATAGAGTGACTGTACCTCAAACACTGAACTGTTGATTCAGTTTTGGTTTTATGCTCTTTCCTTCTTAAACATTTTTTGAAATAACACAAGAATTAGAAAAGAAACATTAAGGCAGGAATCATAATCCAAAGAAAAATGACTGAAACAGTTGAGGATGATTTGATGTGATAAACTCTCGGATATTTGAACAACTTGTGAACATCTGGGTCCAGGGGACAGAGGAGTTGGGAGGAGATGTACTGAACTGGGTCTGATCGGGTCTCAGTGGTGCCTGCTGGTGTAAATTCTGTTCCTGAGCACGACTACTGGAGGGAGGTGGCGCCGGACGCCGGGGTAGTGCTGCATGTGGTCGAACCACCGCGTCAGGTTCACGTACTGCTCCTTCTCCTGGATGGCCAAGTCCACCTGAGAGATAGGAAACTGATTAGCTACTAGTTTGTTGCGAAAGTAACACTGTGGACAAATGTTTGGTTAGTAACAGCTCTAGATTGCTCTTTATCTTATATTTTCTTTTAATGTACATTTTAGGATCATAGTTTTAATGTGGTGATATTTGTATCTGACCCAAACAGCATCATGACGTCCTTGGAAATTTCATTAAATGTGTGTTTACTCACGACGTAATTATCAGTAACGTGTAAACTCACACAGACAACAGTCCAGCCTAAAACCATTCCCCCATCAGTCAGGTTTAATGTTTGTGTCGTGTGGTTTCCATGAATTGAACATCGGGAGCGGCTGTGGTTGAGGGCTGGGCTCGCTGACCCCTTGTCCCCGAGGTTAAAAGCACACTGATCGCTAACCAAAGTGACGCTCCTCTGCCTGGTGGCGGGGGGGGGGGCGAACTTCCATCTCCGCCACAACCTCTGACATCTCTCAACATGTGATGTCCCCCTCCCTCCGTCTCATTCTGTCTTTCCCATTTCTGAACTCACTTCTTTTTTTTCTTTCAATCCTGGAAGGCACAACAAACTTCCTTGTCCCTGGTATCAGGCTAAAGACATCACTTTGTGCCACATCACTTTATTTCTTTGAAGTGAGAACGTGTTTATAATCCGTGTGTTTATTTCCAACTTGCTCTCCATGCCCTTTGGCCATGTGACTGGTCTAATTGTATGTTACGCACTGTGACAAATTGCTTATTAAAGTTGTGGTTTGACTGAAGTGAGCACAGATAGGAGGGAATTGAATGTATGAAGGGTTGACTTCTTGGTAAATGGTGGTGTGAATGCAACAGAGACGCAACAAATCAATTCGATTAATCCCCAAATATAAAATCCTGCAGCTCAATGTGACGTGATTTCTTCAGGTTTTTAGATTGTTCTTTACATTTCTCCTTCATTAGTATTTGCAGTATTTTAAACTGAAAGACAAAAGTTGATACAGACGAGAACATTTTCCATTTTAGCTTTCAAATTTCAGCAGTAGAACTTCAGCAGTAGAAACTCTGACCCTCGTCTGAACTCATCTTAATTATTTAACCTGAACCCAAAATTTCACCAGTCCAGACCATTGACCATCTCTAGATTTCTTTTCACTGAGCTGTATCTGTGAAGGATGTTTTATAATCCAATATTTTTATTGACTTTTTCTTATGAACAGAAACTGTAAACCTGTATGTATAAACAGTGCATAATGCAGACCAATGGCGATAACCATTTACGGAAAATTAAAGGCAATTAAGAAGAAGCAAGAATTAAAATGAAATGGGATAAAAAAAGAAACTGCACACAAAAAAAGGCCAAAAATGATTAATTATTTTTTCACCGCGGCCTGATTCAATTGAAGAGGACAATTTTCAAATACAACACAATACCACAGACCCATCTGGATACTCAGATGTATCAGTGACAGATCGCAGTTTGAGTGATATTAAGCACTCAGAAATCTGAATTGTACACGAGAGTAAAACTTACTATGAGTGGTTGGATTCCATAGTACATGAGAATATCAGCTAAGGTAAACTGGTTTTCGGCCAGGTAGGCTTTGTCCTGCAGGTAGAGGTTCAGCTCCTGGAGAAAAGAGGAACACAAGATACAGGTAGATTAGAATTGAATATTCTATTAGCAACTCATGCAAACAACATAATCGCAATGATTCCGAATAAGGTTAAACGTTTCTGAATTTCCTTCGTAAGACCTTATCTACAAGGAGATATACATCATTCATCCCCCTGCACATGTAATGAGAGTTCTACGTCCTCGTGTTTTCACTTCAAATTTGACTCTGGTCATCATTTGTGATGGGAAGACATGAGATGTCAGCACAGTCAGAATATGTAAATGTTCTTGGTGAGAGCTCAGGTATAAAATCCTACCACAATTCATAGCAAACAAGTGAACATGATGTTTCTAACACACGACAGGCATGAAACTGGCAGAACACAAATATTTAAGAAGGGAAAAGAGGTGCCAGACATGCGGAGAGAAGGCAAAAATATGAACTTGGAAAGACAAAGACATTTGAGAGCTGCTGGTGATGAGGACACACGCTGATGGTTAGGGACATTTTCCTGTTCGTGTAATCCAGACAATCTTGAGTGTTCATAAAGGCAAACTGGAAAATGTCCGGAAATATTTTGTCTGGGTTCAAGTCAAAAAATAAAAACATTGTGGTTTAGGCCATTTTAAGACAAGACTCAGTGTGTAGTTCACATCCTAAAACTTTTTTGCTCATGAATGGCTCTGCATATTGTGAGGCACTGAAAAGCAAGTTGACTCACAAACATGAGTGGACTCGGGGTCTTCTCAACTGATGCATTGACTAATCGACTTTTAGCGGACTGCCCTAGATCCAAGCTTGCATGTGTCTGTGTGTTGTGCTATGTGAAAAGGAATAAAATGTAACCTGAGGGGCTGTAGCATCTCTCCCCATGACTGGCAACTTGGTGCAGATGCGTACAAGAAAGCCTCTTTGTTTACTCAGCGACAACTCTCGCTTACAAATCCAGTGAAGCTGTCCTAAACTTGGACAGCTTGATGTGTGTGTGTTTCAGTCGGATGTCTGCATGTTCAGAGTCGTGTGTGGAAGTGCTGGTCCCAGGGGACGGGACCATCTTTAGCACTTGTACATTGTACGAAGGAAACACTCCACGCACGCAGAACATCTCGGGGGCAAATGGGGTTATTGTGCGGCAAGAGTGGGTGATGCCAAACAAGGCATGAAGACTGCAGACTTCCTCCCCATCCACAATCAGATCCTTGCTCTGCTTAGCCTACAGCCATGGAGCTGAAGCCTAGTCAAGCATCAGAGGAGAGGTCGCTCCGCTGCCACCCCCACCCAGCGCAAGGAGATCCCAACCTGGGTTCTCCTCCACCTGCCCCCACCTCAAATGTTCACTCTTTTCATTGGACATTCACATCAAATAATGTTGGCAAAGTTTGTGGCAGAGCTACTCTCAGAAATGTATGAAATTTTAAAAAAGAGTATAAGAACTATTTTGCCCTATGCACAGAAATCTCCCGCACAATGAACACTACTGCAACTTATACATTATTACACCTGCAGGACATTGCATGTTTTGTGTCCGTTTCTTTCTCATGTACTGATTGATAGTTGTGTTGTTTGTTATTATGACACCGCTGACGCCATTTGCTGCCTTTCTCTCCATGTGTTACAGATACAGAGACGTCTTGAGTTTACAAACCTTTACTTTTTATTTTATTGCTTTGAACTCTGACATTATGGATTCTATTTTGTCTCATAGTGGGGCTGTCACTTTTCATTCTAAATTCGAACATTCATTCAAATGTGGGGAAATGTCTGTATTTGGTCTGTGATGACCGGTTCGAATTCTAAATATTCGGTCTCAAAGCGCATCAGACCATCTAAAGTAGTTTGTCTCCTGATCCAGCAGAGGGCGCTCTGTGTGAGCTTGACATATAAGTAAAGCAAGTCAGTAATTTTACATCGTCTTTGCTCCAAAAATGGAGGACGCTAGCAAGTAAAGTCATCCAGACACACAATCATGACACTATAGCATCTGAGAAGCGGCTTGTGGAAATATTTCGGGTTCTACACCGTGGATGGTTAAGTAAGAACCAGAGGCGAGAACGTTCTTCTTTGTATCATGCAACTCCCATTTTAACAAATCTGTGGGCTCACCTGTTAGCAGCAGCAGAGGAGGCACCACAGATGAGTGGAGTGAGGTCAACTTTTATTAAATTCCAAAATTTATAAAGGTTGTGATGACATAAGAGGAATGTTTCACAAAGTGGTATAATCCCAATAACATTCATCGTCCCATACAGCAGGAAGACACCCTGTACACTTTACCTAATTGGTTAAAGGTGGAATGACAGACTTCCTACAACATTCAGCTGACTTTGGGTTCGAGGCCAGACAGGCCTGGGTTGTTTAGTCACAGTACGTGAGTGACAAGATGTTTACTCTTAAAACATGTCAAAACTTGAAAAACTGTGAATTTCTTATCTGCATCCTGGGGTGAGAAAGTTTAAGGACTCATGCAGCTGACAGTTTCTGTCTCTGGATAATTTAATGGGAGATGACTAGTGTGCTTGAAAGAAGGATGGCGCTAAAGCAGCAGGACAGGACGGGGCGCCGATGGGCACCAGAGCTGGGCTGCTCGGGGCGACTTCCTTCTGTAAGTGGCACCATTAAAATATTTAAGAGGCCTGTCCAGATAACATGCTGCTGCACAGCATGGCTCCTCACCCATGCCACAACAGTGTGTTATGCTGACACACACTTACACACACACACTTCATGCTGACAGAACTGTGCCAAGAGGCGCCTAGCATCCAACAGACCCATGGCTGATGATCCATTTCATGCTGACTGGCGTCAGGCATATTAAAACATTTTTCTCTGTCTTGTGGGGCCATGTCACTGAAAGGCAACACCAGTGTGTATTCTTCGCTTGTGCCTTAACAAGACCAACAGACACACACACACACAGTGGTTTGACTGGTAGACAGAGCAACGGGGAATGTGAGAGAAAGAGAAATGCTGAGAAGTTCAATTTGTAGCCAGCATTGAATTTACTACTTTAATATATGAGTCAATCATACTTTAAGATAAATTCAAGTCCACAGAAGCAACACGACAGTAAGAGTTCCTTCATACCTTCAGGATGGTCTTGACATCATCCTTGGTGAGATTGTTCAGCCTGGTGACTCTGTACTCCAGCCACTGCTGCACTACGGCCCTGCTCTCTGCAGAGTCACCGAGCAGCTCTGAGCGCTTGGCATCTTTCACCAAGTAACAGGCGATTGTCACCAGCCCCACGAGTGGAGGACCATTGCTATTCTGTAACACAGGTACCTGGAGGGACGGGTAAGATGGAGAGAGGGCAGAGAGAAAGGGGATTAAAAAAGTGAGTCTGATTCTATTTCATTGAAGTTCAAACACAAGTAGACATTTACTGCAACATATCTGATGTTTATTTGTATAGTAGTTTTCAGGGACAAGAGTCACAAACAGTCACACCACACACGTAAAAACAGAAAACAAACACACAAAAAACAATAATATAGAGTAAAGTGCACAGAGAGACCGACCCAGTACATGAATCACCTGAGTGTTTTTAACTGGTTCAACAGAATTGCAAATCTGAAATGAGTAAGTAGGACATTGCTCTACTTTGGTGCTCTAAACTACCACAAGTCTTTAGATTATCTTAAACATCCTTAAAAACCAGATTCCTCTGTTGATCATTTTACACATTCAAGAATACAACTGGCTCATACGCAGTGGTTATTTAATGGATTGATTATTGCAGGAATAATAGTGTTCAATATTTTCCTTTAAGATCACTCAAAACGACAGACAGCTGACTCCACCTCTCACTCCTGTGTTTGAGCATGCGCAGAACACAGAGCTACTTCCATTGTGCTAACTAATGAAGATACTTCAGGTGTCACTGGGTCCAGCTTCCTGTGTTTACTCTGAATGTCTCCTCAGCTGATGAACGAAACCCCCGGGCACAAAGTGTGAGCACGAGGTAGCTATGACAACACAACTTCCTCTGTTTTCAACACACACATGTCTAGCTTGTTAGCATTCCCAAGCTAGCCACCGTGTCATGTTACAGCAGCTGCCAAAGCTTCCTATTACATACGACAACGTTTAAAAGCTAACAGCAGAGGCTACAACAACGAGCCGCCATGTCACCTTCTTCTCCCCCTGAGTGCTGTACTTGTTCGGCTTCTTCAGCCCTAAATACTTCTCCAGCGACGACAGCTCCCGCAGCGCCATGTTGAGACTGAGAGGTGTAGGAAGACCCGCCCCCCGGCCTGCCTCTGATTGGCTCATCCTGAGACAGTCCCCTAACTCTAACCAATCGTGTGTGTGTGTGTGTGTGTGTGTGTGTGTGTGTGTGTGTGTGTGTGTGTGTGTGTGTGTGTGTGTGTGTGTGTGTGTGTGTGTGTGTGTG